CCTTTTTATCTCATATAAATGCCTATGATGGAATCTTTCATCTAAACTGTGCTTTTGAAGATACCATGCATGTTGAAGGAAGTGTAGATCCTATTCAAGATATAGGAATAATACACAAAGAGCTTCAGCTTAAAGATGAGGAAATGATTGAGCCATTACAGACAAACTAGAAAAGGTGGCTGTGAGAGAAGGAGATTAAACAAAAACAACCTAAAAGCTGAAAATGATATAATGTGCAAAATCAAATTGTGAGTTATAGATCAAAAGAAACCTGTCTGCTCCTATCGTGATTATGACAAATGAAGTATTAAATAAACACTTATTTCTAATGTCAAAACCAAAGTCTAATTGGTGAATCTTTCTGGAAAAGACTACTTTAGAAGGAAAAACAAATGGTTGATAAAAATTAAAGAGCAGGATAAGTATGACCCAGGTCATACTTGGTCATTGCTTTTAGAGGGGTCTTGGAACTCAAAGTTGCAAGAATTGAGTGCTGAGGAGAGACAGAAGTATTTGGAAGCAACATGACACACAATGCTTTGCCAAAACTCATTAAGGCCAGGTTTGCAACACACCAACTGGAATACTTTTTCATTGAAGGCTCAGATGAAGTATGTGCACGACCATCCAAAACTGGTCGTGCTGCAGGAAAAATTCACACAGATTTTGAAAAAGGATTCATTATGGCTGAATATTGAAATAAATAAAGTTCTGGAAATGTAGTCAAGACTGCTGGAAAGTATAGACAACAAGGCAGAAATTATATTGTTGAAAATGGAGACAGTATCGTCTTCAAATTTAATACTCCTCAGCAACTGAAACAGAAATTTTAGTTATTGCTCAGATAGAGGTATAACTTTTCAAAAGGTAGGTGTTTTTTAAATTAAAATTTCTGAAAACCGAAGGAATGGATAAAGTTGGGGTGGAAATCTGTGGACTTCTAGTGAGTCCTGGGCCTGGGACGTGACAGTGAGGGAAATCAGACATGGGGGACTGTCATGTCCAGCATGCAGTAACTCTTTATTGTCTTAGTGCTCATTATATACTATTTTAATTGCAGCAGGTGTAACATCAAAGCATACCATATAATGATAACACATATGAATGATTAGTCTACTTTCTTACTATTATCTATTTGCTTCAGACAGTAGGGTACCAGGTGGTTAGTTCTCATGCACATAATCTTATCGCCCCCTAGCTAGAGCTTGGAAGTTCGCTCATTATTTTTGTTATTCTAAGACTGTGGAGATGTAGAGGCCTGACTCCACATGGGTCACTTTCCGGGCACTCAACACCAAGTCCTGTCACTCAGAGGTTTTCCTCCGAGACGCATGAGTTTTCACGTGCCTTAGGGACTCAGGTCAAGGCCCTTCTGCTCACTGCGCAGGGTCTCTCCCAACAGAAATCTACAATTATTTTTGTTTTAAAATTAAAATACTGTGTATCTCCTACGAAATGTAAGCCCACTAAATGTGAACAGCTTTGGTCTTCACATGATTAAGACCCTACTCCAAATTGTAGAAGCTCTTCAGGAAGCATATTGCTCTCATGATACTTAGTTTCCTTCAGGTATGTCAAGCTTGACACATTTGACAGTGAGGACAATGTGACTTGCTTCTTTTGGAATCAACAGATAATACATGTTTTTACAGTACTCCACTCAAAACATATGACAAAACCCGAAAAAGAAACAGTCCATGAGAGTTATTAATCTGTGGTTTTCTTTCATTGTACTGTCTTGTTATAGTAATTTTGATAATAATATCCCAATAAAATGATTTGGGAAGTAATCACTCCTCTTCTAAATTGATGTTAATTCTTTAAATTCTAATTGAATTCTCAAGTGAAACCATCTTTTCCTTTTGCAAAATCTTTAACTTACAATCAAATTTTTACACAGCTATAGAATCATGCAAATTATTTATTTCAGCTTGGTTGAATTTCCATGTTTGAGGAAATGGCCCATTCCTTCTACCTTGTCAAATTTTTGAGGTAACATTGTTCATAAAAATTTTATTTCAGTACTTCAACATCTATAATAACTAATATTGAGCTCTGCAATTTCTACCATCCTTTACAGTTCTGGACTTTTTGTTGATATTTTTCTCATTATGAGCATCATTTTCAAATTTCTTATGTGCCTGATAATTGATGACAATTATTGCATATTTTACCTTGTTGGATACAAGATCCTTTTCTATCCCAATAAATAGCTTCGAACCTTTTTTCTGCAGTTCATTATAACTACTTGAAAACAGTTTGATCCTTTCGGGTTTGATTTGTTAGGGGCAACCAGAGCAACATTCTAATGGAGAGTTAAATATTTCCCATTTTTCAGGCAAGACCCTTCTAAAAACTCTTCCCAATGCCTCATGAATTATAGATTATTTCAGTCTGGTTAACAGAACAGGCGTGAATTTTGGCTTTTTGTGAGCTCCAGTTACTGTTTCTTTTTCCCTTTCAAGTATTTCTTGTCCCAATCTCTAACAGCTTTTTTGCACGCATACATTATTAACCAACACTCTCGTGATTATATGAAACCTCTACAAGTCTCTAGAGGTCTCTATAAGAGGTCAAAATTTCTTGCCCCTTTCTACAAAGCTTTCTCCTCTTTTATATTTTTCCTATCTTAAATTGCCTCACACAGAATCCCTGGGCATTCTGAAGTCTCTTAGCTTCCCACTTCTGTGCCTACATCCCTCATTTTTTTGCCAGTCTCCCATCTCTCTGCCTACATAGGCCCCTCTTTTGACCCCAGCACCACTTTCTCTTATTTGCTTTTCACCTTCCCTCTCTCTGATTTCCTCTTCCCCCTCTCAACTTTCTTTCTTTTTCCAGTTGGCCTCACCAACTCATTACTGCATTAGTACTTTCCCTTAGAGAATTACTTATAATGGCTATTGGCATAAAATTGATTACTCCTGTGCATGCCTTTCCGGGCCCTCAATGGGCTTGCGCATCCCTTTAGCCCTGCCTTTCCACAGAATTGCCCAGCAGAGGGATGTACCATTCCACGCGTTCACCCCTCTCGGCAAATAGAATCTCCCAAGGTGGACTGTACCATTCATTTACAAACGCATTTCAATGGACTTGTCAATGAGAATATTGTATCATCCCAATTCTCCCTCTTTCACCAAATGAAGTTTTCTAGACCACGTATTACTCCACTGTCTCCCCCAATTCTCCTATACAATCTCCGGAAAAATTGACAGCTTATTGGTTTGTATAATCTTCCTTTTCATTTTATTTCCTCCTCCCTTTTCTGCCGCGTTGGTTCATCCCACCGCCGGCGCAGGGAGATTGGGTAACAGTCGTCCGCCGTTCGCCGCTGACCGACGCTCAAGATGGCGGCTCCCATAGCACAGTGACCGGGAGCTGCCATGTTGCCTCCGGAACAAAGCGGTCCAGTACCGGAGCGGGCCAAACCGCCCTGTACGGAAAGGCGCCGGCTGGGAGGGTCCCGAACCCCGCTCCGCCAGACTAGAAGCCTGAGAGTTCGCCACTGTAGACATGACAGCTGCCCGAGGTTAAGTTGTGATGGGCGGTTCGGGACCTGGTATCGGAACCGCAGGTCCGCAGATGGTTCTGTGTGGTAAGAGTGAGTCTCTGGGACTGGGCATGGAGAGCGGCCAGAGAGATCAGTGAGTGGAGGTTTATGAAGTCTCCAGTGGCGGAAAGTGTGGGGTTGGTGTTGGGTTTGTTTGGGAGTTAGGGATGACGTGAGCTTCGCGATTAGTAATTGGGTGTGCCAGGGATGTGGTTGTGTGAGGGATCAGAAATGGCGTGTGGGGGTATTGATTAGTGGCGCTCGTGGTTTCTGGCTCCAGGGAATCAGTGATTGGTGAAGGGGCTGTGTGGACTGCAAGAGCAGGGCATCCATGTGGTCCTCAGGGATGGGTGTGGGGTGGGTCTGTGGGGGGATGTGATTGCTAGGGCCAGGAATTCAGATGATCAGCCCCAATTTATAGGGAAAGATTTTAATGTGCATTAAAATTTCCACAGGTCATAGGCAACCGTGAAGTTCGTAGAGGTCAAACTCTTTCTCAGTTAACAAGTTGCGTCCTTCGCCTGGTGTCCTCCTTTGAATGATCGGTTTAAAACAAGACCAAAGAAATCAAAAAGGATAGGATTATTATGTAAAGTGTGTTTTTAGACCTACTTCTTTCTCTCCTTCTAAGTTTATTGAAATTATTTTGTACTTTATGCAACAAATAGTATTCTTTTTCTCTTTGGGAAAAGAAATATAATATTATTTTTCTCTTTGGGAGGGGCTCACTCCTTGGAGACTTTGGTTTGTTGCTGATTTTGGATAACTATACAGAATCCGAAGGGGACCAGAAATTCTACAATATTCTCAATCTCCATATCTTTACCTTTGGCTCTGCGCTCTAGACACTCCATACTGCAGTCTTGGATCTTAAGCTTTGTGATCTAGGCGTTGGTGCCTAAGGACCTAGGTTTCTATAGCTGGGTCAATGGCTATGCTAATCTCTTCTACCCCCACCTCCAGCTCTTGGCAATGTGTGAGCCAGGTTTCTGGTCTTTTAGTACCCCCTTTCCAGTTTTTCTATTTTTGCCCTCCATCATCTGCATGACTCCTCCTTGGACTGGGAAAAATTTAACTGTGTACCTTCTCATACTGCAGTATATTCCTTTGTATCAGCGTGGTCCGAATACTTGTTTATTGCCTAATGAAAACATTCTACAACAGAACTGCTGGTTCATATGGGGAGCAATCAGTTGTTACTAACTCAACATGAAACATATTTTCATATCCATGCAATTAAAAACTTGTTCTATATTATGGTAATGTGGTCAGAAGAGGACTTTCTTACGGCTTTGCCAACCATTCTGTAAGGAACAAACAGCCTTCTCCTACAGTATATCCATCATTCACCTGACTTCTGCCAATGCTTATTTCTAGACTGGTGAATGGGAAAGATGTAGCCTAGATCTGGTCTGTAAAAATGGCCCTCTAATAACAAATTTTGTTTTTTCAGGCATCTGTCCTTTTAGAAGAGAGCAGAAAATGATGAAGTCCCAGGTGAGTGCTTTTATTTATCTTTTCATTTATTCATTTACTCATTCATTCATTCTAGTCCAGTATGGCTGATAAGGATAGAGAGGATGGATTGTGGAAATGATATTCACTCCTGTGAATTTGTGGGAGTGAATGGAGCTTGGATGGTCCTAAGGTAATAAGAGGAAAGGACATTAAGTTGTAGGCAGGGCTATGGAATCTCTACTGATAGTTTGAATTTTCCCAGTGGAATAGGAAACAAAGTCGTGAACTGAGCGCAAGGGTGGGGAAAGGAATTGGACATTATAGGAATGAGGAAAAATTCAGGTCCTCTAGATCCTTGACACTCAGAATGTGGTCTGCAGAAAAACAGATGACCTGGGATTTATTTGGTTATCACCAACTTCTCCCACACTGAATGAACCAAAATTTTCACTTTACCAAGATTTCAGATGATTCCTAAGCCTGTTGTTCTCACGTTTGCACACTGGAATTACCAGGATTTTAAAAATCTGGATACCCATATTCAATCTGTTTCCACCAGAGTATTTTGGGGGTATGTTCCTAGAGCCCACATTCTTTAAAATAACCCAGATGAAACTAATTTTGATGACCGAGTATTCTGGCTAGGTAAGCAAGTGAATGAATTCAGGAAAACCCTCCAGAAGTTAATGTTTTGGTATAAAAAGAGACCATTCTGGTGCACCCTGAGTTTTTCTCCAGCTCTATACTGCTGCATGTGTGCAGGTACATAATAGATCAGTGGTGTGGATTTAACAAGGGTTGGGATTTACCAAATAACGGAGAACAAGTGATGTTCTACCTTCTTTCTCGCTATTCTCACTTTTCCCCTTTTTAAATGGAATGGCTCAGTTTGCAGCTGTTCTATACTTTAGCTTTCAGGAAAAGATTTACCAGGAAGTTAAGAGTTGAGTGCAGTGGTGTGTACCATGTTTTTCCCCTGTGTACATCAGATTTTCCCATCAGAGTTATGCAAATAACTGATAATAATGTGGATTACCATTGTGTACATGTACATGGGATGTGGGACCCCATCATTTCTTTTTTATTTTTTTGCTTTCTTTTTCTCTTTCTAAAATTTATATCAGTTTCTAACTTCCTCTCGAATTCTTTTCTTTTTAATTATATTATATACATAGAAATTGTCTGCAAAGAAATGTGCCAGAAAAGTAACAATTGTTATTTCAACATAGCTAAATTATAGGAAATATTAGAGGTTTTTGGTTTTTTTTGTAACTCAGAAGCCATTGGTATGCATTTATTTATTTGTGTGTTTATATTTACATTTTCCTTTTTTACCTCTTTATCCTCTTTAGCCCACCTCCAACCCAATCCTGCCTCTGGTAACCACCAGTGTGCTCTCTGTAGCCACAAGCTTCATGTTTTTTTTTTTTTTTTCTTAATTCCACATACGAAAGAGATCATGTGATACTTTTCTTTGTCTGACTTATTTCACTTGGCATAACATCTTTAAGGTTCATTCATCCATTCATGTTGCAACAACATGATTTCATTCTTTTTTATGACTATAAAATATTCTGTTGTGTGTGTGTGCGTTTATACAATTGCTTTAACCATTCATCCATCAGTGGATACTTAGTTTGTTTCCGTGTTTTGAAAATTTTGTAAATAATATTGCAATGAGCATATGAATGTGGTGGTGCAGATATCTTTTTGAGATAATGATTTCATTACTTTCAGATATATACCCAGAATTGGGATTTTTACATTCTAAGTAAATTCTATTTTTAATTTTTTAGGGGTCTCCATACTGTTTTCCATACTGCTTGTACCAAATTATACCAATTTATATTCTCCACAAGAGTGCCCTTTTCTCTACATCCTCTCCAACATTTTTTATTTCTTGTCTTTTTGATAATTGTCATTTTAACAAGTATGAAGTGACATTGTGGTTTTGATTTGCATTTCCCTGATGATTAATGATGTGCACCTCTTTTCCTCACATGTTGGTTATATGTCTTATTTGGACTACTGTCTACTCAGATCTTCTGCCCATTTTTTAATAGGATTTTTTTTATTGTTTTTTTGTTTGGCTTTTGGTAATTGAGTGGTATGAGTTCTTTATGTATTTTGGATATTATCCTCTTTTAAGATCTATGATTGGGCCTCCCCGGTGGCGCAGCGTTTGAGCGCTGGGTTGCGAAGCTGCCCGCAGCCTCTGCGGCACCGGTTCGATCCCTGGCTGCTCCCCAGCCACCGGAGGAGGGTCCCACATGGCGCGCCGACCTCTCCTGCTGCCTGCTGCTCCCCTCAGCAGTGTACTTCAGTCCTTCTGCCTGCTCTGCTCCCCGCTCTGGCTCTGGTGAATTCTCTCACCCTCCCGCGCTTCTGACTGTACCCAGTGCTTGTATAAATAAATAAAAATAAATCTTAAACAAAAAATTAAAAAAAAAAAAAAGATCTATGATTTGCAAATATTTTGCCATTCCATAGGTTGCCTTATCATTTTGTTGATGATTTTCTTTACTCTGTAAAAGCTTTTTAGTTTGATTCAGTCATCCTTTCATTTCTATCTTTTCCGTTCTCTTAGTTACCCAAACCCTCAAGCCATAAATATTGTATATAAATTCCCACTAATTAGTCATCATATTTTCTTAAAATTATATGTATATTTGGTAAATTGAAGCATCCTAGCAACATCAGAGTGTTAGGATTACATCTATTAATTTCTCATTCGGAATGGATGTCCTCTACATTTCCCATTTATCTTTCTCATGTTACTGTTCTTCAGATGACAAGAAAAATATAATTGACTTATGGACAAAACTATTTTTAAATAAACATGAACTGTATTTCATTCTCTCTAATCTTCATTTCTTTTTAGCAAACATTTCTCAAGTACCCAATTATTCACTTGCTTATTGTGGGATATGTTGAGAAAATTTAGAAATGGTTCTTTCCTGGTAGAAATGCAGAGAAGAGCTCTAAAAATAGGCATGCAAGCAAAGAACCAATACAACAAAGAGAGGGGAGCAATCAGCTTTATACAGAAGTCAGTAATACAGGCTGAAAAGATTATCTCACATTTGATTATAAAGAAAGAATAAGTCTGGGAAGTGGCATTTTGCAAAAGTAAGAATGACAGTGATTTTAGGAAGATTCAGAGTTTGAGGAAAACTAAAGTGGAGATTATTTCTTGTAAAATTTGATTAAGGTGATATTAAAATAATAAAATATAAAAGATCTTGTTTACTATATCATGGAGGCAATGTGGACTGCAGTTGTCAAGAACCTAAGCTATCAAATCAGAATACCTGCTTTTAAATGTGGGTTAATCAATCATATATTCAGTGTGTAACCTCTGGCACATAGTTGCTTAACTACTATAATCCTCAATTTTCTCATATGCAAAATATGGACATTTACAGGGCTATTCTGAGGACAAATGGAGTGGTTGTTAGCTTGCAGTACAAATATGGTACTTGGTGTATGTATGATGAGAGAAAGCTCAAGATAATAGAGATAAGACCAATGCCAGGATATGATCAAAGGTCTTATTTTAAAACAGGAAAATGGTGCTATGTGAAACAATAATTCATTTTCATCCTGAAAACAGTATTTGATAAAGTAAAATATTTAGGGGAAAAAACAAAAAATTGTTTAAAATAATAAATCACTCTCTTGCCACTATTAGATGACAACTGTTGTGAATATAATGATAATGTAATTGAAATAGTCAGTTTTCCCTCTAGAAACATCAATAGTTCTAAACTTACCCAAGTCCTTTATTTTAATGTCACATTAATAATTTGTTGGATTTTTTTTTCATGAATGTTACCTGAAAATTGCATGTGTCTTTTCAGCAATGGCATTATAATTGGTCTACTTTATTATATGCATATATATGGGGAAATTGCTGGATTCAGGAGAAGCTATGATTATTTTCCTATAAAATAAGAGGATTAGGTTATGATCTTCAGGAACTCTAGACATTCTGTGATTCTGTGATTTTACTCAAAAGACCTCCTCTGCTCTAAAATTATTAAAATAAAATTATTAAAATGCTCCCACGTTTTGTTTTGTAATTTTTATAGTCTTAGATATTTTTCAGAGTTTACATTTTTGCTCCATCCAGAATGATGCTCTTTTTCTTCTATTTTCCAAGATGTAAGATACTGTGTATTCAATACTAAAGCTGCTGTAATGAAGTGCCACAAACAGGGAGGTTTTGCCTCATCATTCTGGAGACAGTGCTGTGACAGGCTGTCACTTCTGAGGTCTTTGAGGTTTCAGATCTCTTCTCTTGACTTGTAGATGACCATATTCTCTCCAGGTCTCTTCATTTTACCTTCCCTCTGTGCATCCATCTATCTGTTCAAATTTCTCCTTTAGATACAGATGTCAGTCATACTAGAATAGGTGCCACTCTGTTGACCTCATAAGAATTACACTGCAAACACCCTTTTTCAAAATAATGTCTCTTATGTCTTTGACATAAGAATTTTCTGGGGATACAATGACATAAGAATTTTCAGGGGATACAATTCAACCTATAATATGGATTCAGCATTATTCTTTTCCTGTCAACTAGTAATTTCAGTACTATCCATTGAATAATATATCTTCCTTCCAGTTATTTGAATGTTCCCATTATCATTTATTAAATTGCATTTGTATTAGGCAAGCATTTTAAGATTTACCTCTTCTGTTTTCTTGTTCTGGGTGGCTCTTCTTGCTAAAGATGGGATTTTACATTATTTTGCTCAAATACTATGATACAAAACTAGGTGTCAGTATAGTTTTGCATGCTATTGTAGAGAGTGATCACTTCAGATTGAATGGGAGTATATTGTTACAGGGGTCAGTATCATTCAAGGATGTGGCTGTGGATTTCACCCAGGAGGAGTGGCAGCAACTGGCCCCTGCTCAGAGGACCCTGTATAAGGATGTGATGCTGGAGAACTACAGCCACCTGGTTTCAGTGGGTAAGGATGGCTCCCTGCATAACTCAGTGTTGTCCAGTGCCTTTCCTTATCAGTTGCTGCAGTTAGGAGGTTCCTGACATATGCAATGACTTTTATGATCTCATGCCTTCCCAAATGGAGTTCATTTTTTTGCTAAGAGCCAACTGAACTCTTTCACTGTAGACCTCCTGACACTACTACATCTTTTCTTCTTGTCAGTATATGTGATTTCCATGTAATAGGGTATCCAGTTTCCAAACCAGAAGTCATCTCCAAGTTGGAACAAGGAGAAGACCCATGGATCATAAAGAACGAGCCATCAAATTGGATCTATCCAGATGAAATTCAGGCAGATGGGAGACAAGGAAAGTGGAATTTTTTTTTAATTGATTGTTTCCTGAGGCTTATGTTTCTGACCTTATTGAAATCTCTTATTCTTTGTCCCTGTGCTGAGAATTTAGTAGACATTCAGCAAATAACATGTATTAATAACACCAAAGGAGGAGGGCCTCCCCTGGGTGGCGCAGCAGTTGAGCGCTGGGTTGCAAGGCTGCCCACAGCCTCTGCCAGCGCCAGTTCGATCCCTGGCCACCGGCGAGGGTCCCACAAAATAATAATAATAATAATACCAAAGGAGGAGGGTGAAGTCAAACTGTTGGGAGAAGAATACATGAACAAAACCTTGGAGTTAGGCAAATATGGCATTTCTGGGAGAACTTTGAGAGAAAGTATGATAGGAGTAGTAGCATTTAAGTGTGGATTCGTGGTGTGACCCTGATACTAAATTCATAGCAAGAGCTTGGATTTTTCTGTTGTGTTAGCTATGTTAGTGAATTAGGAAAGTAAACTGAGGAGGATTAAAGTATTTTAAGCACAGAGGAGACCTTGTGTCTCCAGATAGCAGTGACAAGATAATAATAAGATGTGTATATAATAAGTTGGTTGTAAAATAAATGAATTAAAATGGTTAAAAACATTTCCATTCAGAAAATGGAAAAGTAAAGATTCTAGAAGAGTAATCTAAGATTAGAGTGACAATAACCCAGATACTTTTGTTCCCTTTGGGTGTAGTTTTTCCATGAATATTTCTCTTTAATATCATTATCTATCTGATGTCATATGGTATTCTGCAGTCATCAGGTCATCCTGTATGCTGTAATGTCTTCCTAGATAGCCTGTCTCTATCCTTGTTTTTTGAATTCATTAACTACGTTGGATCAATCATATGCTGTACTTCTATGCAATTGTAATTTTTTTTAACTGATTTTATCTTTCTTTCTTTTAGATATGTATAGTGAGCTTGACAACCCTCAGTCGTATATTTTGGGATCTTTTTCCTTCCATAATAAGATACTGAAAGGAATCACAAAGGATGGTTCCATATACTCTATTTTAAAAGTCTGTCAAGATGATGACCAGCTGCAAAGATGTGAGAAAAACCAAAGCAAACTTTTCAGAGAAGTCACAGTATTCAGTAACAAAACAGTGACTGTGCAGTCAGACCACAAATATAATGCTTTGGGAAAAATATTTCAAGAGTGCATTGGGACAGATAATTCAAGGCAAAGACACCATAACTATGATGCATTTAAAAAGAACTTGAAATCTAATATTGACCTGCCTGATTGTAGTAAGAGCTATTCAAGAAAAAATCCTAATGAATCTAATTGTAATCTTCAGAAAATTCACAGTGGAGTAATACCTTGTGATGATAATCAGTGTGGAAATGTTTTCAGCAATAAGCAATCTCTTTTTCAATATGGGAATGTTGAAGCTAGGGAAAAAACCTGTGTATGCATTACATGTGGAAAAGCCTTTGCTAAGAAATCACAGCTCATTGTCCATCAACGAATTCATACTGGAAAGAAACCATATAATTGTGGTGCATGTGGAAAAGCCTTCAGTGAGAAGTTTCATCTCACTGTACATCAGAGAACTCATACTGGTGAGAAACCTTATGAATGTTCTGAATGTGGAAAAGCCTTCTCTCAAAAATCATCACTCATTATACATCAGAGAGTTCACACTGGGGAAAAACCATATGAATGTAGTGAATGTAGGAAAGCCTTTTCCCAGAAATCATCCCTCATTATACATCAGAGAATTCACACAGGAGAGAAACCTTATGAATGTAGAGAGTGCGGTAAGGCTTTCTCCCAGAAGTCACAACTTATTATACATCATAGAGCTCATACTGGAGAGAAGCCATATGAGTGTACGGAATGTGGGAAAGCTTTCTGTGAGAAATCCCATCTTATTATACATAAAAGAATTCACACTGGGGAAAAACCCTACAAATGTTCTCAATGTGAGGAAGCCTTCAGCAGGAAGACAGAACTCATTACACATCAGTTAATTCATACTGGGGAGAAACCATATGAATGTACCGACTGTGGAAAGACCTTCTCCAGGAAGTCACAACTCATCATACATCAGAGAACACATACTGGAGAGAAACCCTATAAATGCAATGAATGTGGAAAGGCCTTCTGTCAGAAATCACATCTCATTGGACACCAGAGAATTCACACAGGAGAAAAACCGTATGTATGCACTGAATGTGGGAAAGCCTTCTCTCAGAAATCCCACCTTCCTGGACATCAACGAATTCATACAGGAGAGAAACCTTACATGTGTGCAAAATGTGGAAAGGCTTTTTCCCAGAAGTCAGATCTTGTTTTACATCAAAGAATTCATACTGGAGAAAGACCTTATCAGTGTGCGCTATGTGGGAAAGCCTTTATCCAGAAATCACAGCTCACTGTACATCAGAGAATTCATAACGGTGGTAAAATCACAATGAACTAAGCACAGAAAAGCCTTTAGTATTAGTTCAAGCCTTAATAAACCCTAAAAACTTGATTAATTTGATCAGTGTCTGGAAGACATCTTTATAGATAAAGTTTTACATGTTTGTAGTGTGATCATATCCTTTTTCAGCAATGATCATGGATAATTATTAAATGAAGGACATTTTCAACATGGCATGTAAATCTAAAGTCATGAATTACATGGTCAGTAGAACAAATTATGTACATAGAATATTGTCAAGTTGCATATTCCTTATACCACATCAACAATGATTATTGTGAAATTGCTAGTATTAGCTTGGCATGAGTTTGGCCATATAGTAACTGCCTATAAAAGACATAAGAAAGTTGGAATAGAAAAAAAAGTCAGTTCCTAGAAACTACACTATAAGGATACTCTTAGTATGACCATAGATACTTGTAAAAATTCTTATACAAAGATAAAAAGATAGCTTGATCAGATTCAATAAAGTTCATGTTTATGTGTTTTCTCATCTCAAGCACATAGTTGACTTGTACCTCTGGAAACATGCTAGACCTTGATTTTGATGCTACTTTATCAGGCTCTCCCTGGGAATCTGTTATGGTGGAAAGTCTGTTATGGTACCAAAGTTAAATGATCTTGGCATTTAATAATGGCTCAATTACTCAGACTGTGTGACATTAGGCAAACCTTCAGAACATTGTTTTTCTTATCAGTAATTTGAAAGTACATTGTAGAGCACATTTTCAATAAGTATTAATTTTATCTGTCTTTATCCTCCTTCCATGGGATGCTAAAAGTAGTGTGCAAAAGCCACACCTTCACTTGCTTCACACTCCAGGTGCTGTGCTCTTGGTCTCCTATTCCTGTAACTGTCCGTTTTACTATCTTTTACTAATGGCTTGATTCTTGGTATGTTAAAGTGACATTTTATTATACACTTTATTTTTCACATAGACATATAAACTCTGCTGTTTGTACATGTCTAGTGTCTTTTCAGTTCCTTTCTGACCCAGTGCCTCAGCCCCAACTATTCCTTGGGAATTGAGGACACCTACAGAGGAAAACTCAGAGTGGGAAATCATGCCCAGCATAGATTTGAGAATTTGATTTCTCTGAAATGCCCCCTACCCTTCTTTCTGTGGTTCTACCTATTCCTCCATAAGCTGCTTTGGTTAATGACGCCTCGTGGAGAGCCCTATGTGAGTGTATATTTGCCTGGGATGAGGGTATCTGTATGAACAAACCTGATTTAACCATATTTGCATAGTTCATCACATAGTTCCCACTTGATTCCATCATGTTTTCTGCCCTCCTGATTTTCCTGAATTGCTGAATTTACTGTGAAAAGATGGGCCCCTTCTGGGCCAGAAGGTCTGCACAGGAGAGGGCTCACCTCACAGGGGACATCTCATGCATTGAACTGCCTTGAATTTCCTCATGTAAGATGTCCCAGCTGGCCTTTATGATGGCATGAGGACAAGAGATCACATTGGGAACACACAGAAATTTAGTGTAGAGGGAGTTAGATATAACAAAGTTTCACAGTTGCACCCTCCACACCTCTCATTTGGTACTTCCAATGGGTTTCTGTAAAAATTCTATATCAGACTTGCCACCTTGGTCGAACACTTGACTATTTTTAGCTGTTAGGAGCTAGCCCATGGAATGGGGCAAGAGAAAGAAGTAATAGGCATAAGGTTAGCAAAAGAAAAGTAAAATGGACACTATTTGCAGATGATGCAATTATATATAAAAATATTTACTAGTTATTAAAAATGGCCAGTTTCTTGTATAAGTTGCTGTATACAATTTTAATACTAAAAAATAAACATTCTGGGCCTCCCCGGTGGCACAGCGGTTGAGCACTGGGTTGCAAAGCTGCCCGCAGCCTCTGAAGCACCAGTTCGATCCCCGGCTGCTCCCCGGCCACCGGAGGAGGGTCCCACATGGCTCACAGACCTCTCCTGCCGCCCGCTGCTCCCCTCAGCAGTGTACTTTGGTCCTTCTGCCTGCTCTGCTCCCCGCTCTGGCTCTGGTGAATTCTCTCACCCTCCCGTGCTTCTGACTGTACCCAGTGCTTATATAAATAAATAAATAAATCTTTAAAAAAAAAAAGTGTTAAAAAAATAATAAAATAAACATTCTTCAAACCAATAATAGTGAAGTTTTATAGATACTATTTACATTAGCATCACAAAGTGCAGGAACCTCTATGGAAAGTTGTATAACCTTATTGAATAAAATTAAATTTAATGATAATGACAAAAGACTGGAAAGATCAATGTTAAAGATAGTTTTCCCCAAAGTGATTTCTATATTATTGGGGGAATTGGGGAAAGAAAATAAAATCCAGAGAAGCAAGCCCATTTATGATAGAATTAACTCATTTCATTATTGAACAACAAAATACCATATCCCCCCATGTAAGTAGCAAATGGCTATAAATTTGTAGTGTCTTTTTACCTTTTTATATAGAGTTAATTATGCAGTTGTTAGAAATCATCCTACTGTTTGTAAATTATAGATAATTCAATTTTCATCCATGGTTGCGCTGTGCTTACTGATGTCCAGTTTTACAAATTATCAAGCTTCCTCTGATTCCTTATTTATCAGTACTTTCTCCCACAGTTGTCCATGTCACTATATTTAGTGCATATGATTAGTCATCTTTCAACATTTCTGATAAACTTAAATCAGTTTAATTTCTCATGGAGATTTTTGCCTATATTTTCTTCTATGTATTTTATGGTTTCAGGTCTTACATTCGAATCTTTTATGCATTTTTTTTTTTATTTTGGTGTGTGGTGTGAAAGCTTTTTCATTCTTTTGCTTGCAGCTGTTCAGTTTTCCCAGCACCACTTAATTGAAGAGGGTTTCCTTTCTCCAGTGTATATCTTAACTCCTTTGTGTAGATTAACTGTCCATATAGGTGTGGTTCTATTTCTGGTCTCTCAATTCTACACCAATGGTCTGTATTAGCTGTTTTTGTTCCAGCAACTCTGCTTTGATTGTTACAGTTTTGTGTATTATTTTGAAGACTGTGAGTGTGGTGCTTCCTGTCTTCCTCTTTTTTCTCAGTATTGTTTTGTTTATTTGGGGTCTTTCTGATTTATGATTTTATTTTTTATATATATTTTCTTAAGATTTATTTATGCATACAAGAACTGGGGTACAGGCCAGAGGTTCAGAGGGTGAGAGGTTTTACCAGAGACAGTGGGAAGCAGAACAGGCAGACTGAGTGAAATACACTGCTGAGGGGAGCAGCAAGCGAGACAGGAGAGGTCTGCTGTGCCACGTGGGTCACCTCCCTGGCAGTGGATCAAATTCGTGCTGATAATAGCCGCAGATTGCTTCCTAGTGCTGACGCTTAACTCCTTGTGCCAGAGAGGCCCCTGTTTTTATATATTTTTATTTTATATATTTTTTACATTGTTCTTCATTTTTGTACAATGTGTGCTTTCTCACCTCAGTTATAGTCCCTGTGAATTCCCACCACCAATTTATCCATGTACCATCACTATAATCCCTTTGAGCTCTTCCCTCCATTTTGATCCTACTCCCTTCTCCCCCTGAGCAGAATGTGTCTGGTTTACAGTTGCTTGTTGATTTTGATTTTCACTTTATTACAATTTTTCTTATCCCTGATCCCTTATTTGGATCCTCTACATTCCTCCTGTAAGTAAAACCATCTGTTATTTTTCTTTTTTTTTTTTTTCTAGCTTATTTCACTGAGAATGATCCCTTTCAGCTCCATCCATATTGATGCAAATGACATGAGTTTATCTTTTGATTGCTGAGTAATATTTCATTGTGTGTGTGTGTGTGTGTATATATATATACACAACATCTTCTTGATCCAGTCATCTATTTTTGGGCATTTGGGTTGTTTCCATAGCTTACCTATTGTAAATAGTACTGCAATAAACATAAGGGTGCAGGTGTCCTTTTTAATTAATGTTTTTGTGTCCTTTGGGTAGATCCCTAGCAGTGGAATTGTTGGGTCATATGGAAGCTCCATTTTTAGTGTTTTCAGGAAACTCCACACAGCTTTACACAGTGGTTGAACCAGTTTGCACTCCCACCAGCAGTGCAAGAGAGTTCCTTTTTCACCACATCCTTGCCAACATTTGTTTTTGCTAGGTTTTTTTGATATGTGCCATTCTCACTGGTGTAAGATGGTATCTCATTGTGGTTTTGATTTGCATTTCCCTGATTACAAGTGATGTTGAACATTTTTTTCACATGCCTTTGGCCATTCGTCTTTGGAAAAGTGTCTTTTTAGCTCTTCTGCCCATTTTTTTTAAGATTTATTTATTTGTTTTATACAAGAACCAGGGTACAGACTAGATGTGTGGGAGGGTGAGAGTATTAACCAGAGACAGAGTGGGGAACAGAGCTGGTAGACTGACGAAATACACTGCTGAGGGGAGCAGCAGGAGTAACAGGAGAGGTCTGCGGTGCCATGTGGGACCCTCCCCGGCCAGCTGGCTGAGATCCAGCCAACACTGCAGAGGCAGTGGACAGCTTCACGGTGCTGCACTCAACAGCCTGCACCACCAGGGGAGACCATCAGCTCTTATTATTTTTTTTTAAATATAAATTTTTTTTATTTTTATATTCCCCATACAATTGCGACCCCCTTATTTTGACCCCAATCCCTCCCCTGCCCGCCCTCCACCCCCTATAAATTGTCTCTGGTTCGACACTTTTTGGGGAGTGGGGGGCAGGAGGGGAGGGATTGGGGTCAGAATGGGGGGGTTGCAATTGTATGGGGAATATAAAAATAAAATTAATAAAAAAAAAATAAAAAATGAAGTGTCTCTGGTTCATAGTTGTTTGTTGATTTTTATTTTTACTTTCTTATAGTTATTCTTTTTCCTGGTCCCTTATTTAAGTTTTCTAGATTCCTGCTATGAGTGAGAACATCCGGTATTTTTCTTTTTCTTTCTGGCTTATTTCGCTGAGCATGATCCCTTCCAGCACCATCCATGTTGCTGCAAATTGCATGTGTTTATCTTTTTTGAATGCTGAGTAATATTCCATGGTGTATATGTACCACATCTTCTTGATCCAGTCATCTATTTTTGGGCATTTGGGTTGTTTCCAAAGCTTAGCTATTGTAAACAGTGCTGCTATAAACATAGGGGTGCAGGTACTCTTTGGAATTGATGTTTCTGTGTCCTTTGGGTAAATATCTAGGAGTGGAATTGCTGGATCATATGGAAGCTCTATGTTTAGTAGGTCAAGAAATCTCCACACAGCTGTCCATCGTGGTTGGACCAGTTTGCACTCCCACCATCAGCTCATTTTTTGACTGGGTTGTTTACTTTGTTTTTGTTGAGTTTCATCAGCTCTTTGTAGATCTTTGAGATTAGTCCCTTATCATTAGTATTATGTGCAAAAATTTTCTCCCAATCGGTGGGGTGTCTCTTTGTTTTGGTTAATGTCTCTTTTGCTGTACTTCTAGAAACTCTTTAACTTGATGTAGTCCCACCTGTTTATCCTTTCCTTCACTATGTTTGCTTTGGGTGACCTGTCTTTAAAGAGGTTATTGAGGTGTATGTCATGTACTGTTTCGCCTATTTTTTCTCCTATATATTTTATGGTTTCAGATCATATGTCTAGTTCTTTAATCCATTTTAGTTGGTTTTTGTGCATAGTGTGTGGTAGTAGTCCGGCTTAATTTTTTTGCATGTAGCAATCCAATTTTCCCAGCACCATTTATTGAACAAAATTTATTTTTTCCATTGCATATTCTTTGCTCCTTTGTCAAAGATTAGTTATCCATAAATCTATTGGTTTATTTCTGGGTTTCCTATTTGATTCCATTGGTCTGTGTGTCTGTTCTTATTCCAATACCATGCAGTTTTGATTATTGTGGCTTTGTAGTATAGTTTGAAGTCTGGGAGTGTGATATGTCCATTACCTTCCTTTTTAGTTAGGAGAGCTTTAGCTATTCAGGTTTTTTGTGGCTCCATATGAATTTCATCAATATTTGTTCTATTTCTTTGAAGAATGTCAGTGAAATTTATATTGTAATAGCATTGAATCTGTAGATTGCCCAAGATAGGATGGCCATTTTGATAATGTCAGTTCTTGCAATCCATGAGCAGGGGGTGTCTTTCCATTTCTTTGTTTCTTCTTTTATTTTTTTTAACAATTTTGTATAGATTCTTTGTATAGGTCTCTTTTGTTAGGTTTATTCCCAAGTATTTTATTTTTTGTTATGATTATAAAAGGGATGCTTTTCTTGATCTCTTCTTCAGATTCATTGTTTGCATATAGGAAAGCTACTGATTTTTGTGTGTCGATTTTGTATCCTGCTACTTTACTAAACTGGTTTTTCTGTGAAAAAACCTAATTTTCATTAGTTTTAGGGGTTCTCTATGTATATTATATCACCTGCAAATAGTGATAGTTTTACTTCTTCTTTCGCTATTTGGATACCTTGTATGTCTTTCTCTTGTCTTATTCATCTGGCTAAGACTTCCAGTATTATATTAAAAAGCAGTGGTGAGAGTGGACATCCTTATCTTGTTCCAGATCTTAAGGAAAAGGCTTTGAGCTTTTCACTATTGAGAATGATACTGGCTATGGGCTTGTCATATATAGCCTTTATTATATTAATATATGTTCCTTCTATTCCAAGAATTTCGAGGGCCTTTATCATAAATGGATGTTGAATTTGTTGAATGCTTTCTCAGCATCAATTGATATGATCATATGGTTTTTATTTTCTTTTTGTTGATGTGTTGGATTATACTATTAATTTTCATATGCTGAACCATCTTTGTGCCCCTGGGATAAATCCCACTTGATCATGGTGTATTATACCTTTGATGCATTGTTGGATTCTGTTGGCAAGGATTTTGTTGAAGATTTTTGCATTAGTGTTCATTAGGGAAATCAGCCTGTAATTTTCTTTTTTTGTGTTGTGTCTGTTTGGTTTTGGTATTAGTGTAATGTTGGCTTCATAGAACGTATTTGGTAGTATTCCTTCTTCAGTTTTTTGAAAGAGTTTGTATAGGATAGGCACTATTTTGTGTCTGAACGTTTGGTAGAATTCATTTGTAAATCCATCCGGTCCTGGGCTTTTGGGGGGAAGGTTGTGATTACTGCTTCAATTTCACTATTTGTAATTGTTCTGTTTAGGTGTTCTATTTCTTTAGCTTTGGTTGATTGTAAAGTTGTAGGAATTTGTCCATCTCTTCTAGATTGTTGAAGTTGTTTGCATATAACTGTTCATAGTAGTTTCTAATTGTTCTTTTGATTTCTGTTGAGTCTGTTATAATTTCTCCTCTTCTGCTTATGATTCTATTTATTTGTGTTTTCTCCCACTTTTTCTTTGTGAGCTTGGCTAGAGGTTTGTCTATTTTGTTTATTTTTTCAAAGACCAACTTTTACTTTCACTGATCTTATGAATTGTTTTCTTAACTTCAATTTCATTTATTTCTGCTTTGATTTTATTATTTCCTTTCTTCTACTGTCTTTTGGGTTTTTTGTTGTTCTTTTTCCAGTCCTTTAAGATGGGAGATTAGGTTGTTCCTTCGTGTTCTTTCTTGTTTCTTGATGTGAGCCTGTATTGCTATATATTTTCCTCTTATTACTGCTTGCTGCATCTTATATGTTCTGTAGAGTTGCGTCCTTTCATTCATCTCAAGGTATTTTGATTTCTTCTTTGATCTCTTCATTGATCCAATCGTCTTCCAGTAATGTGGATTTCAATCTCCATGAGGTAGGAGGGTTCTTTGCCTTCTTTTTATGGTTTATTTCAAGTTTGATGCCTTCATGGTCAGAGAAGATAGTTGGTATGATTTCTATCTTAGTGTATCTGTTGATGTTTGTCTTGTGGCTCAGTATGTAATCAATCCTGGAGAATGTGCACTTTAGAAAAATGTGTATTCAAATTTTGGGGTGTGCAGTGTTCCATAGATATCTGTTATGCCCATGAGGTCTAGGTCCTTGTTTGGAGTTTAGTGTCCTTGGTTATTTTTTGTCTCATTGATCTAGCCATTGTTGAGAGTAGTGTGTTGAGGTCTCCTACTACATACATATTTTTTCTAATGTCTGATTTCAGAGATGATAATAATTGTCTGATATA